CCTTCTCTGGAGATATTCAAGACCCACCTGGATGCAGTCCTGTGCAGCCTGCTCTGGGTGACCCTGCTTCAGCAGCGGGGCTGGACTCCATGATACCCAGAGGGCCCCTCCAACCCCGACCATTCTAGGATTCTATGAAAAAGACCACCAGGTTGCAGCACATCTGCTGCTGTCTGTCCACTCAACAGGACCACACTGGAAAGAAGCAGTACCTCAAATAGACAAGTCATAAGTAATCATTTCCATTTTTCAGGACAACAAGCAGCCAGTGCAGGCTGCTGAGAAAAGGACTAAATGCATTTCACGTACGCATCACATCCCAATAAACAGACACTATACGCTGTGCCAGCTTCACGCTTCCATCCGAGGTAAGTCCATTCAGAGCACTGCCAACAATCAGCCTTGACATGTCAAGAGCTTGCTGTCCCCACAGGAAACATCACGCCCTGCTGACCAAATACCGACTGAAAAAAGCACATCTCACCACAGCAACAACTTGTTCTCCCATGATGTCTGACTGCTTAAAAGGCTGCAGAGGGATTGCTGCAGCCTGGTACACTGTCAGACCTATGGGACTGCTCTAAGTTGCTGTAGGTTCCAAGCGCCTGATCTTCTTAACTGTTCACCAGCTCACAATGGAGCCATGGCACCTAAGCGTGGCAGGTAGCTAAGGAGAGTGTGGCAGCACCAGAAGAGTGGCATCGCAACAACCAAAGAACAGTAAACTAACCAGTTCAACTGGTGGGCAACCTGCTTCAGTGGTGAAGTAAGGCAGAGCACCGTGAAACACGGCTGTCATGCATAACAATGATTTTCTACAAAGGAACAGAGAAAAAATTCTCTTCAAAACTCATGAACCTCAAGAACTGCTTTCCAAAATGTGGTGTCTTAAAATTGAACCCAAAATTCAGGAGCAGCTCCCTTCTTGTTACCTCTGAATTTACTGTGTATCAGCACACTGCCAACCTCAACAGCTTTAGCTGGGAAGCAACAAAACTTTTATTCCCAAGTTAAAGGAACAAATTGTGTTTATTAAAAGCCCACATATGACATTTGTCAGAAGGAACACCCACTACTTTCTCTCCTGAAGTCAGATCTCTGCACAATGTGACACTTTTGTAATCTGTGATATTGTTTAATACTGCATCTAAAAGAATTCTATAAAATAGCCAACAAATTTGAGTTATCAAGAAAGACTAAACACAAACAGAGGAACATGGGAAACATGTAATGTAATTTCAGCAAAGTTACTTGCTCTCTCAGGAAGCAAAGTTCAATAACCCAAGTTTCAGGAGGCCACCAAATTGTTTTTCTAGTAACAAAGGTACTGCTTCAGGAAGCATTAGACAAACGGCTAGCAGGGTGAGCTATAAAGTCAAGGAATATTCTCTGACAGGAAACAAAAATAAGGAGCCCAGGTAAAACTGATTGAAGGCAGACAGATTGCAGGCAAGGTAATGTCCGCACTCAGGAACATCCTGCTGCTTTTATTCGTAAAGGTGGTAGACCAGTGAAAGAAGGTCATGGCTACTAGGAATTAAGAGGGCTGCTTAAACTTCAGCCATGGCTCACAACACAAAAAAGCCATTTCCTAATCTCCCAGAACAGAGCACACAAGGTACAAGGGATGCAGAAGATTCAAAATCATTGTACTTTCATATTTACAGGGAAATTAGATAAATACCAAAGGAGCTTAATTTGACCCTGAGCAGAACAGTTAAACACAAGAAAATAATGGATTCATACTGCACTGTATTCAGGCACAATGAAAAGTATTCAAATATTTAAATCTCATTATAAACTCCTCCCCACTTCTCCCTTAATTTCTCCCAGGTAAACCGAAGTTGTAAGAAAACGTAGACCCACTAGAATTTCCCCACCCAACACACTGTGCAATACTCTGTCACCATTTGGCTGCCCTGCAACAGGAGCTGCAATGGTGAGTTCTTAGCATGCGGGTCTGTGGCACCTCCGTTCCCCTCCACACACTGTGCTGCCAACAACTGATCAACCTGGTTGAGTGCTTCTTGCTAGAGTATTACAGGAGGACAACGATTCATGGTTGCTATGACACTTTTTCCAGTTGAGACTCAGATTTCAGCACCCTCTTGTCAAGTCTCCCCCTTAAAATTCCACTTCAACTATTTATCAAACACACAACAACCTAATCTCAAAGACTGCAAGCTATCTGCCAAATCGGCAGTGCTTTGCAAGCAAACTTTACACCAGCTACACTAGGATACGTGAACGTGGTTATCCTACTTACCTAGAATATTTTCATGCCGCAGCAATACAGTGTTGTACAATTCAGTTTCCCTGAACCAGGATTTTTCATCCCTGGAAGAGAAGATCTTCACAGCAACATTTTCTCCTTGCCACTGACCCCTCCAAACTTCTCCATAACGGCCCTTTCCTGGTGGGGGAAAATACAAAGTAGAAGTTGTCAACTAACAATCTTCATAGGGCAGAAGGACAAGACTAGTTAACAGGATGGAAACTCAACAGTTATGGTCCAAGTATCACACTGACGTAGTTCGGTAATGCCTGCATACACTTTTTACCACTTTTACAGTCATGCTGTGCTCCACTGTCCCTTAATTCTTCCTGTTCGTTACACCTGCCAGCTGTGAGGGTATGGATCTCTCCTCCTCGCACGCTGGTACACGATCCTGAGTGTTTGGACTGGGCAGGTGTAATCATTCAACTACCAGCAACGACTGCGCTTTTCCACCTTCAGCGACTTCAGCCACAAACTACAAGGTCAGTGTCCACAACACAAACCAACCTATGAATTCTGAAGTTTGGAGGACAGGAAGGATACATAATGCTGAGGATACATCCTTCTCATTTCTACTACACCATCGGCCCTTGTGAAAACAGCCAGCACGGCTAGACACACAAAATACAGAAAGATGATTTTAAAACAAAACAAACACCTACAAGCAAAAAAAAGTAATTAAAAAAACCCACCCCATAAACCCCCAACTCTCCCCCGGTCCTGTGGAGATCAGGACACGTCATCTGCATGCCAACCTTTTTACCCAAATAGCTTAGAAGAAATGTATGAAACTATCAAGTAACCAAGAGCAAAGCAACACCCCAGACAAGGCACACTGGAAAAGCTCTGGTCGTTGCCATTTTCATCACAGCCCGAAGACAACAGCCTCAGGCTTTGGGCAATGAATTGTGCTAGGTGTGGCAACCATAAATACCCAGATTCTGCTCTTCATTGCTCTCCTGTTCAGCATTCTTTAGAGGCACGTGTGAATCAGCAGCAGGTATAACCAAATGGAGAGATACCCGACACAGACATCTTGGTGCCGTCACACGCACTTTCATCTGGTTCTGCTATACTGGCTACAACACACGGCCTCTGGAAATAGTGCCAACCTGAGCTAACTTGGGAGCAGGGGCCATTCCAGCGAGAGACACTTATTCACACACATATACACGCACAAAAAGATGTCTCTACTTCATGTGTATTATATTCTGCAGTTTCGGATGAAGAGAAATTGCAGAGCACCAGAGGACGTACACTTGGACATTTGTGCCTACTCAATACATACTATAAGCCAAAAGCAAAGAAACAGTGGTAAAACATAAGCCCAGTCCCTGCAGATTCACAGACTCATCTGTTTTAGTATGGCTTGATTTAACACCTTGATGAGTTAAAACTTCTAGCGACTTACAGCAAGGTGTTAACCCGTTCTGAGCTCAAATCACTGAAGCAGCATAAAACATATTTAAAACAGTCTTTTTCCTACTAGAATCAATCGTTATCATGCCTTCCTCACCTCTATAGTGCCAGTACAGCATCTTGGCTCAATGTCACTGCCTCAGGGTACCTCCGACCCAAATGCTTCCTAAAATTACTAAACTCAAATTTAACACTATTCAATTAATAATATATATATGCTGAAGAAAAAAAATTAATGGATCCTTAAAATTAACACTGAAGTCTTGCAAAAAACTGAAGGCTTAGAAGAGTTTTACAGAAGAATTACTAGAAGAGAATCTCTCTAACCGGCAAAAGATCAGCAACAGTACATCGTTGCCTGCATGGTCCCCAACCAACAGTGCAGAGCAAGTAAGCTACAGAACGTTCGTGTTCCCATTCCAATGGCACAAAATCACGGCGGTGTGGTTTGGGTTTTTTTGTTGTTTTGTTGGTTTTTTTTGGGGGGGGGGTTTGTTGTTGTTGTTGTTTTTTTTTTTTTTTTTTTTTTTCTTGAAGTGCCACATCAGCCACTTTGCTTGATACTTCAACTCCAGATGATCCTTTTCTAATGCAACACCATTTATCAAGCTTCAAAATGAGCTTACTTTTCTAAAAACAATTTATTTACCTTACAAAGTACGCAAACAAGCCTAGCTTGTATTTTCTAACACTGCCTTACTGAACAAAGCTTGAATTTTTCAATCATAAAGTACAGATGATATTTGCCCCTTCCTTCTGCATAGATCTGAAAGGAGTTTTTTTTCACTTGACTTTTGAAAACCAAATCTGTTCCATAGGCTGAAGCCTGAAAAGTATCATCATTATACAAGCAGCTGAGGAAAAACAGTTGATTAGGATGGGAGATAAAGCTTTCTCTCCACATTTGTAACTAAGACTTGGCAAACAAGAATTACACTAACCTACACACTCTACAAGCGTGATCTGGCGAGCCACCGTTCTTTGCACCAAGAAAGGAAGTCCAGAACCACTTCCAGATGTGCAGGAATGGTCCAATAAATCCTGTTCAAAAGGAAAAGCAGAAATTTACAACCTATGAGAAACTACATTTTTTCCTCATGTACACATACAAAGGTACACCACTTCACAGGACAGGTTAAGTTCAAGCTCCCTGGTATCTCAGGGGCTCTGGTGATGCCATTTGGTCACTCCGGATCAAGACACACCATTGCCATCACCGTACAGATGGACAGAGAATGCTCTTTGCAAGACTGTACCCCTCCAACGACCATCCCACACACAGAAGAGACTGGCAGGGGAGCTGTAACTCAGGCATAATCACTTTCTGTGGGAAGTTTTACAAACAACACAAGAAGGAACAGCAAACAAATCCAGCATCATTTCACTCTCAGATTTCTTATTTTGTCTCCATCTTGTATTTGGCATTACAGTATCATTTTGTTTAATCAATAAATCATTTTGTTTAATAAATAAATGACAAGAAATTTACTGCCTGTGAACCCAGAAGCTCACTTGTAGCCTACAAGCTATCCTCTCTAGTGAAATTCCACCCTTTTTCAGCACATTGCTGTTCTTGCATAACTTCAGCGCTCTTAATTCTGTATCTGTCACATATTTCAAGTCCATTAATATCAACTTTTTTCCCCAAAAAGTTTTCTATGTCTTACAATAATCTGAAGCGCCTCAAAAAGAAATACACTTCCTTTCGCTGACATCTGTACTTAAAACCTTCATCCCTACACAGTTAGTAGAAAAAAAGCCCGCATTTACTTTTGAACTCTCCTGCAGACTCTTCCCGTTCTTCCAGTCACCTGTGGTTTCTTCCTAGTAAAGATGACTAGCAGGGCACAGCAACACAAACGTGTTTTCACTGATCAGAGCTCAGGTCACGTCCCAGCCCCTCCAATCTGGAGTATCTGATACTCTCAAAATCTATTTTATGAACTCTATGAATAAATGTGTATTAGAAAGAAACACTCGGAACTCTGACCTTTTTCTATTACTATAAACAGACTCTAGAAACAGCCACAGCTGAACGTTTCTAATCGAAGTGGTAAGACGGATAAACCCAACATATTCCTGTGATACAACCTGCTTTACCAGCACCTTTTTAAGTAACAAGGGGAGGGGAGTCAGACCCCCCAGACAGGTGTCTTTTGGGTCCACCTGAGCCGCGTGGAGAGGTGACAGCCTACAGCTCATGTCCCGGGGCTCACAGCCAGGGATGCTGGATATTCGAGTTATTTATCACCGAAAAGAGTTTTAAAATAAACAAGGTTACAGGTGTATTACCTGCATCACCTACACTAGATCTGTAATTGATACTCAAGCAAACTTCCCGTGACAAGTCTTTCTTAAAAGTTTTTATTAGTTTCTGGTATTTTTAGTGCATGGAAATCAGATTTTAAGGTTATAAAAAAACATGACTAAGATTCTAACTGAATGTTAAAATCCTAATAGCCTTTTAAAATGCTATTACCCAACTACTTTGACAGCTAGGACTTCCGTACTAGTTCAAAGCATTAACAACTGGGTACACTGTATTACTGGACTTTTTTTCCTTTACAAAGGAAAATAGGATAAAAAAATGCCTAAGCATAATCAACTTTCTAGTATTTCCAGCAACCCACACTACTGGGCTTTAACCAGATCTGATGGAATCTAATTTCTCCTAACAATTTTTTAATGAGTGCTCAAGAACAGGATAATTTAGGAATAACAGGAGACTGCTATTTTGCTTTTAATACAAACCGAGAGCTCATTATCCTTCCTGCTTGTATCAGAAAGAGGCAAAAATTTATCTGCAGTGACCATAAAAACAAGATTTGAAGAGGCCACAGCTCTTTCCATTCCCCATTAGGAAGCTTAGGGCTTTAAGTATTTGCTACACTATGGAGACTAATCCTAAATGCAAACTAATGTGTAACAAAACCTGCGATTTAAAACACACACTGGAGAAGAAAAATCTGGAATTTAAAAAAGACTTCCTGTTTAGCTGAACATTTAGACAGAAGGAACTACCAGAGTGTTTCCTCACATCACCAAAATTGAAGAGGCACACCGGAGGCACTGCCATGGTAAAGCTACCAGGGTCTGAGAGCCAAGGACACAACAGCTCCATCAGACCAAACCTTCACAGTTCGCAACTTCTCCAGTTTCTTTTAAATATAATTTTGACTTATTCTTCTCAGGTTTTATCACCGTTTCCAAGTAACATTAAATGACCTGAAGTGCAAAAAGTTTGCAAATGGAATGGAAAGTCTTGCACTGCTAAGAGATAACAAGCTGGTAAAAGCTGGAAGTCAGTGCTTAAAGACAGATAATCAGTCCACACACGCCTAGTTCATGGTGAACTTATCAGAACTGGCTGTTTTAAAACAGGAACACAGAATCAAGACTTGTGGGCTAATTAAAGAGAGCCAATGGCATTAAGAACAAGATTGCAAGTACAGTTTCCACAGGGCCAAGCTGAAGCAGAAGAGCAGGGCAGCAGTCGAAAGCCGCTGCAGTCTGCACCACGCTTGATCCCGCAGTTACACGAAGCACCTGGATATTTCAAGCTCCAAGAGGGAGGCTGTTTCCACTGCTCCATCCTACCGGGGCAGCTACCATTTAAACACCAAAACTCTGTTATCAGAGTGGCCACCCTAAGGTCCCTCTAGATCCAAAGCTTGCCTCTGACTGTACCCAAAAGCAGTGCCCTTTATTAGAGTATTACAAGTGGAGTGAACTGGGGTAGGGGACACACAGGAGTATTGGCCATCTGTTAGTATATAAGGGCACTGGGGTATTAGAATACTGGGGTCCTAGAAGCAGAGTGAATCAGAAGTGAATATGGAATACTTAACACACTTGCTACTCTAAAGCTCTCCCAGCCTCCAGCCACATTCAGTTCAGCATTAGACACTGTCCTGCACAGCACCCTTGTCTCTAGACTGGAGAGACATGGATTTGATGGATGGACCTCTTGGTGGATATGGAATTGGCTGGATGGTCTCACTCAGAGAGTTGCGATCAACGGCTGAATGTCCAAGTGGACACCAGTGACAAGTGGCGTTCCTCAGGGGTCGTCAGTATTGGAACCAGTGCTGCTGAACATCTTTGTCGGTGACATGTACAGTAGGATTGAGCACACCCTCAGCCAATGTGCTGATGACACCGAGCTGTGTGGTGTGGTCGCCACGCTGGACAGCAGGGCCAAGTGCAAGGTCCTGCACACGGGTTGGGGCAATCCCAAGCACAAACATAGGCTGGGCAGAGAACGGATTGAGAGCAGCAGCCCTGGAGAGAACGATGTGGGGATGCTGGGGGCCGAGAAGCTCAGCACAACCCACCAGTGTGTGCTGGCAGCCCCGCAGGCCACCCGTGCCCTGGGCTGCACCCCCAGCAGCGTGGGCACAGGGCGAGGGAGGGGATTATGCCACTCTGCCCAACTCTGCTGAGACAACCCACCCACACACCGG